TATACTATATAATAATGTCCTTCAGAGCTCCAGACCGAATTTCGATCACGGCGGCAAGCTTCAACGTAGAGTAGCCATCGGCGCAGGACAGGATTATAGTGCCCAAGTGTATGCGCGAGCACAGGTGCACTCTCTATTCCCTCACTCATAATCCGATGGGCCGGTAAACCGACACGACCGGAGAGAGATCAGGTACAGGACCAACGTAGATTTTGACAGATCTCAAAAATAAAATTTTCAAAAAAATGTTTTTTTGGAATAACTTTTAAACAGATGTAACGATCAATTCCAAAATCTCATCAGCTCTTAAACATGGAAAACGACGTTGATTGTTGCGAACTGCTTCAAAATCATTTAATGCGTTGAAGAGAAATCTGAAGAAAAATTTTGAAGTGTTGTTTTTGTTTTCACGTAACTTTTGAACTTTTTGTTTTTTTTTTTTATAATAAATTTTATTATTGTTCTTAAAAAACCTCGATGATTGCCACAAATTACATCAAAATTGGTTGATCCGTTCGAAAGTTATCGTTGTCAAAAAAATTTAAATAATGTGTTTTTTTAATAAATACTAATACTGCTTTTTTTTATAGAAGAGGGGGCAAACGAGCATGCGGCTCGCCTGATGGTAAGTAAATACCGCCGCCCATGAACAACCGCAACACCAGGGGAGTTGCAGATGCGTTGCCGGCCTTTTAGAAAGGTGTAAGCTCTTTTCTTGAAGGTTCCTAAGTCGTATCGGTCCGGAAAATTCTCTGGTTGTAATTGATTCCACAAGGAAGTTGTGCGAGGGAGAAAACTTCTTCTAAATTGCACAGTGGTGGACCGCCAATCATCCAGATGGTATGGATGGTAACGCAAGTTTTGTCGCGATGTGCGATGGTGAAATTGAGCGGCTGGAATTAGTCCGAACAATTCCTCAGAGCACTCCCCGTGGTAGATGCCACATCTCTACGCAGTGCCAGTGTATCGAGCCGATCAGAAAGAACTCGGTCGTCGACGATTCGAACCTCTCTGCGCTGGATGCGATCAATTGGAAGGAGCTGGCACTCGGGTGCCCCGGCCCAGAGATGAGAACAGTATTCCATGTGGGGCCGAAACAGAAACAGAAACAGAAACACAAACTTTTTTATTCAATATAGATTATAAATAATACTTATTGAAAGTCACTCTTTTGTTTGATTACCACTGGTTCGGAAAAAACCTCTGTCCTGGGAAGAACCAGCAAGAAACCCAGCGGGACTTTTTTTTAAATAACAGCTTACAATCATGTATGTTACACAAATTAACAACACAACAAATTAGAAATAGCTTGGTAGCGATCACCTCATTTCCAGGGGTTATTATCATCTATAAATTGATTCATATTATAATAACCCTTTTTATACAAACTTAGTTTAATGAAGTTTTTGAACTTTGAGCAGGTCAAATTTTGTATATTTTCTGGAATTTTGTTGTAAAAGCGTATACATCGCCCCAAGAATGAATTACTGACTCGATGGAGTCGAGTAACTGGTACTACTAGCTTGTGTCTGTTCCTAGTATTTACAGAATGAATATCACTTATTTTTGTAAAACTACTTTTATTTTTGTGTACGAACTTGCGCTTTGTAAAGTTGCAAGCGATGTGCTGGCATGAAATACTGTCTCGCTCTGCTGAACACGCCAAGCTTTTTAGAGGCCAATTTGGCCTTCCCTTCCAAGTGACCACGAAACTGCACACTATTCGATATGTCGACGCCAAGGATTCCGATACTAGCTGAGGCAGCAAGGGGAGTGCCTTGAAACTGAGTAGATACGACAAAGGGATTCTTTTTAGCGGTAAACGCGCAAACTTGTGTCTTCTGGGGATTAAACTGGACTAGATTTAGTCGGCCCCAATCCGAGACTTTGTTAAGCAAAGACTCGACTTCAGACACAAGTTTGTCCCGGCACTCGGCGACGTTTTCCCGAGAAATATTGGCACGGCCGTTATATAAGGCATCACCAGTGCTGTCGTCTGCATAGCAATGAATGCTACCAGTTAGCAACATATCACTGATAAGCAGGAGAAACAGTGTTGGTGATAGCACGCAGCCTTGTGGAACACCAGCGTTGATAGGCTTGAAATCAGAGCATGCACCGTCTACTACGACCTTGATGCTCCGATCAGCAAGGAAACTGGTGATCCATTTGCACAATTTCTCGGGAAGCCCATAGGAAGGAAGTTTGGAACGAAGCGCTTTGTGCCAGACCCGATCAAAGGCCTTCGCTATGTCCAAACTAACGGCCAATGCCTCCCCCTTGGACTCTACTGCCTCCGCCCATCTATGAGTCAGATAGACTAGAAGATCACCAGCTGATCGACCTTGACGAAAACCTTACTGGCGGTCACTAATCAGCTGGTGATCCTCAAGATACCTCATGAGGTGGCAGTTTATAATGAATTCCATTATTTTGGAGAACAAGGAAGTGATGGTAATAGGCCTGTAGTTGGACGGGTCTGAGCGGTCGCCTTTTTTAGGGATCGGGTGGATCAAAGCTGTATTCCATGAATTCGGGACTACGTCTTGGGAGTAGGAGTACCGGAAAAGACGCGTTAAAACCGGTGCCAACTCCGGAGCACACGTCTTCAGCACAATGAGAGGGACTCCATCGGGCCCACTCGACTTGCTGACGTGCAGGGAGAAGAGTGCTTTGCGAACCGAGCGCTGTGTAAACCGCACATCCGGCATGGAGCACTCACATCGCGGGATGGTCGGCGGTGTGTTCCCCCCGTCATCTAGAGTCGAGTTGGACGCAAAAAGAGAGCTCAACAGATCGGCTTTCTCCTTTGCGGCATGGGCCAGTGAGTCGTCCTCTCTGTGCAGAGATGGAAGAGATGGCTGACAGAAGTTCCCTTGGACAGCCTTGGCGAGAGACCAGAATGCACGGGTTCCCGAAGGAAGGCGAACTATCCTCTCGCCAATTCTGCCGATGTGCTCAGACCTTGCCTTGGCAATGACGCTTTTGAAGGACCTGGAGGCGGAGTTATACTTCTTTTTAAGTCCTGGTGTTTACATCCCAAGACGTTGATGCGTCAGCCCAGGCCCGGTAGCACTCCTGCTTATAGCGTGATGCTATTTTACAGGAGCGACCAAACCATGGCTGGGATCTGCAACCGATAGGCACCATAGAGGATGGAATAAAAAGTTCCATACCCTGAAGTACCACATCAGCAACAGAATCGGCAACAACGCTGGGATCTTCCGGCGAGAAGCAAACCTTTTTTTACATCCTAACAAAGGTTAGGATGTAAAAAAAGACCGCATTCCGTACCAATCAGCTGACCTATAGTGCCAAACACGGCGGCAAGCTGCAGATCGCAACTGCGATTGGAGCGTGAGTGGCACCGTACTCCGGATCAGACAATGGTCCGAAGAGCCCAGAGGGGCATCGACGGAGACCTGATATCCATCCGTATGAGAGGTCAGCAGAAGGTCCAACAGGGAAGGTACATGGTCTTCCACATCTGGGATCCGCGTAGGCGAAGTAACCAGTTGTGTTAGACCACATGCCAAAGCAAAGTCATAGACAGATCTACCCGCATGATCGGTTAAACGAGAACCAAGCCATTCAGCGTGGTGCTTGTATCGCTTTTGATGTAATGAGTTAACTATCAGTTCGTAAAAATATTCCTCGAGCGTTTTAAGATCGAACATGGCTAAAAGTTCTAGAGATGGCCTGCAGGGTCAACAGATTTGTTTTATAGAATAAAGGTGATAAACGTGTACACAGATGATAAGTGGATGCTGTGGTCCACAGACATTTACATTTATCCTCAATTGAGAATCAAAATGCGTTGTCACCACTGAGGACTATGATAAAATGTCTCGTTTCACGTAAAAAGGGTTTCCAGTTCTGTACTACAACACATAGCAGCAAGTGGCATTATATGAGAGCACAGTATTTCCCCGCTCGCGTCGTTCCATTCGTGCTACAACCGTAATAAAAATGCAGCATGACTCTACCACGTATAAATTCAAACGCATGTCAAATTTTGAGTAGACCATTTAAACACTAAATTATCTCTAAATAGCGCCATAAGGTAGACTCACTGCTGCTTGGCAACAGGTATAGGTAGAGGTAAACATATTGTAAACACATTGGACCACTCCCACACGCCCACATTGAAATAACTATGACTAGAGTCAGGAAACCCGTATGAATTTTAAAAATCTGCTTCACGTTTTGCCAGATCAGCTATTAAGAAAGCTATACATTGCTCTGGCACAATCTGTCAAACTTATTGTACCTATACCGGTATGGGGAGGTGCCACAAAAACAAAATTTTTAGATTTTGAAAGAGCCCAGAGGTCGCTCCTAAAAGTAATATGTTTTAAGTCCCACAGGTACTCTACAGTAGAACTTTACATTTTTAGTGATTTACTTACGGTCAGAAAACTATACTCTCTTAAACATAACCTTGTACCTGCGTAAGACACACTCATATACTCCAGCTAACCTGGACAGAAGACGCAAAGGTATTGTGGCACACTCCCCTAGGGTTCATACTGTTTTTGCTAGACATCAGTAAACCACACAATCAACATATATATAATAAATTGAATTTTAAATTAAATATAGGATATATATTTATTTTAAAATATTGTTCCATACATGTAAACAAGCCTTAATTGAGTGACCAAAAGCTCTTACATACGAGGAAACTGAGCTTATATTAATCAGTACTAGACAAGTAAAATGCGCGCGCATATAAACACACACACACACACACACACTTTTTAGCTGTCCACTTTCTCTTTTTCAATTTTGAAATTTATTTTTCTGTTATTTTGTATGGATTAGTCTCAATACTGTAAGGTAGCTTTAAGGGAAGCAGCAAGGTAGTTCCAACACAAGTATTTTATAACTTACTGGAACTACCTCAATTTATTTATTATAAACAATTTATTAATTTAATTTAATTTAATTTGAACAAGGGGGCATTTAAATAAAACAAATGATGCGAGTACGGAATGTATTTAGCTTTTAGCGGCGTTCTTCCTCCACTGCGGGTTGAATCCGGTGTCGCGGAACAACTGATCTTGATCGTCCAGATCCAACTTCAGAGAAGACTGAAAACGAAAATAATATTATAACACAAATATATACAAACCCATTCTTGAAAGATGTTTGTGATAATATAACCATTTTTTATACGTGGTTTAGTTTTATACGTGGTAGAGCCATGCTGCAGCTATGTTAGTAGTATAGTTGTAGCACGAATGGGTCAACTTGACCGGAGAAGGAACTCACTTTCACAGAATACCAATGTAAAATAGCACCTTAACACATCAGGTGGACTGTGTGCTCGTTTGTCACCCTTATCCTATTAAAAAAAAGGGAGGTCAAACAATTGTCTTAATCATCGGTGTATGTAAATGTTTTTTTTTTTAGATACTATACGGGTGGTACCTACCCAGACGAATTATAACCTATTTCTGCACAAATAGCAGTGTTTGTACCGCCGTGTTCCGGTCTAAAAGGTATAGAGAGGTACTATAATTAGAGGCTGTGAGGAATTCCATCTTAGTCCCCAGAGGTGATAACGCAACTGTAGAGTTATTTGTTACTTAGTTGCAGATGTCCATGGACTGCAGTCAGTGGCATATTATCCTTAAGGTATACTAGGCACATGCCCCTATACTCCGACAAAAGACCGCGCTCGAAAGTTTTTAAATGAAAACAACATTAATGGGTGAATGGGTCGGCTCGGCCGGGGAAGGACCACGCTCTCACAGAATACCAGCGTGAAATAGCAGCATGACGCTGCTGTGTTTTGTATGGTGAGTGTAGAGAACCGGAGACCCTTTTTTACTGGAAAATAGGCATTCCATCTTAGACCTCACGGGTGACAACTCATCTGCATTTTGATTTGCAAACGAGGACAGATGCAGATGTCTATGGGCCACAGCAACCACTTACCATCAGGTGGACTGTATGCTCGTTTGTCACCCTATGCTATAAAAAAAATTAAGTAAATACCTACTTATCATACTTTCTATAGAGATGTGGAGCATCCGAAGCGCACCCCGCCTACTTAATTACTCTTACATCGCCCTGATTCTCTTATCACATTTTCACACACTTGCTAAGAATACACGTGACCTGACATACCCAATTATTTTGCAAATAAAATACATTAAATTTATAAAAAGTTAATATAAGAAGTTATAATTATTCTATACCACGATCAAGTTTTGACTTTGGTTGTGGTTAGCCGTGCACATACACATTGTGTTAGTGTGCGTGGGCTGCGGGCGCTCGCGAGTAGCGTTCCCAAGCGCCTACGCACACTAACACAATGTGTATGTGCACGGCTAACCACAACCAAAGTCAAAACTTCATCGTGAAATAGAATAACCATACTAGCCTAAAGCGCTGTCGACATTTAATCCACCCTTTGACTGCAGTGGCTATTGACCATCCGGTGGCCTGTAACTTCGTTTGTTACTTCAGTTTATAAAATAATCACCACTACACTAGCGCGGGGGTCTGTCACTTATATTTTGTTATTGAGAACTAAGAAGGACCAAGATGAAACTTCTCATAGCTTTTGATTACCCATACTTGCTCTCCATAAATTGAATCTATCATTAGATGAAATTAAAATCTTTATAGATCTTCTCAAACGTCCCCTTATACATCCACACTAGTATTTAAATCTAATATTAGTAATTTATTACTAGGGAAAGTCAATAAAAAAACTTACAATTGTAGACCTCCTCATGGGCTTTTCAGGTACCTTACTCAATAACGCATTTGCACCTGGCCTAGAATCGAAATTAAATAAAAATATATATTTAAAATCTTTACAGCAAGTTAACTTCGCAACGTTGAATGGGTATATTTATACATAAAACCTCCGTACAGAGGGTAAGGAGGTTTTATGTGTATATATATATATATATATATATATATATATATATATATATATATATATATATATATGGTTTTATTATATATTTAATAATAATTCTACTTATTTAATAAAAGAATAGAAAGAAAGAAAGACAACTTTAAATCACATCACAAAAAAAAATAACACGAGATTTAAAAAAACCATAGGATTTTTGTGAAGTCATATTAGGTCCCTATTTCAGCTAACAGCTGCTGTACTAAATGACAGCAGCGCTAATTTGCATGTAGAGCCTAATATTGGCTTCACGGGCGGTGATACATTACCCAAAACTAAAAATTAAAGAAAAACATTCATAGAATTGAGTGGAGAAGGAATCAGCATAATAAGAAGTATTATTTGGAAATAATAATATATTGTTTAAGCGAACATACACTTACATATATACACATATATATCTATACAAACATATATACATACACATTTACATGTACAACATATACATGATAAAGTACTCAACAGCTCAACATCGTGTAGTATATAGCTCAAATAAACAACATGAAGTATATCGTCTAATTTTAATAAAATAAACATTTGAATTTAATTTCGTAATTGTTAAAAAAAGATTTAATAGAGAATAGGTACGTTTCATTTCACTTTTAGCATAGATCACTATAAAATTCTTAATCAAATTAACGTACCTTTGCGGACGATCCCTGGATTGCTTCCATCTTTGTCTTTCCATGATCTCCTTTAATATTAAAAAAAAATTAAAGTAATATAATTAATTACAAAACTCAAAACCAACGTTAAACTGTTTTACCTTAGATTAACTGGGTTTGTAATTTAAAAATAGACCAAAACTGCACGTATTTTTACTTTTATTTTAGTGAAACCAGTAAATCTAATATATATAAAATTCTCGTGTCGCCGTGTTTGTTACCAAACTCCTCCGAAACGGCTGAACCGATTTGTATGAAATTTTGTGTGCATATCGGGTAGGTCTGAGAATCGGCCAACATCTATTTTTCAAACCCCCTAAATAATAAGGGCCCACCCCTAAATATATTTTTTTATTTTTTTGACAAATATTTTAATTTTTATCTTATTTTGATTTAGCATTGAAAAATACATAAAACTTCAAATTTTCACCCCTCTACGATCAACCCCTGTTTTTTATTCGCGATTTTTAATGTATATGGCAAGACAACGTTTGCCGGGTCAACTAGTTATATTATATAAATGAGATGCTTGCGTTATCATTTCTAAGTTTTATTCTATATTATAACAATATATGGGCTTCTTTAGATACATAAAAAAAAGTTGTAGTGTCCGTCTGTAATATCGAAATAACTGTTTTTTTAAAGCTCATGGGTTATTTGTATATTATTAAAACCATTTTCTTTAATTTTGTCTGTCCATCCGGCCGGGCTATTCATCTGAATGGCTAAACAGACTGTGTTGAAACTTCACGCACAGTTAAAGAGCAATGCAAACTACATTTTATCCGGAAAACCGATGATTATCTCATAAGCTCATAATAACCTATAAGAAATATAAAATAGCTTTAAACAAAACTTTTGGTTTGCAATTTCACATAAAAAAGTTCGTTACACTTAATCCTCAAGCTAAAATTTTTGATTCAAATTCATTTTTTTTGTTTTTAGATAATGAGGGTTTAAGTTGAAGGTTATAAGACCTTTCTACGTAAAATTAATTTTTATTATCTTCGATTTTTATTCTAAACAGATTTTCCCTTATCGCACATAAATTTATATATAATCGCCAAAAAACTTTTTGTTGAAGTTCTTTTCTTTTTTTTGTTTAAATTAAAGATGAAAATTGGTCATCAAACAGCATTACAGGTATAATACAAATATATTCTTGAAATTCCTTTCTATTAGAACAGCTTGCTAAAACTAAAACCATTTGATATTCTCAAAACTTCATTCCCAGTGCTGCAGTTCGAGGTCCCAGTTAATTGGATGCAGTTAAAAAAGGATCCAATCCACAAAAGCTAATTTTGAGATTTAGAGAATTCTAATTCAATTCTATTTCTATGCAAAGAAAATAGCTGACTTTAAATTGTTTATAGTTTTCTTTTTAAGCTAAGCTAAACTCTACTCTGTAATTAATTTTAAGGACAATTATTAAATTATACAACTCGCTTTTTACCAGAGTGATCCTTTATGCGTAACTAGGTAAAATTTAGAACTGATTTGACTTTAAAGTTTAGTAAAAACATCAATCGAGATCCAGCTTCCCTTACCGGGGTTGTCGTCTCTTCAATCCTGGTTGTGTACATTTCCACGCCACTGGAGTCGTCCTCTTCTGTAGTTGTTTTAATTTTACGAACTTTAACAGTAGTTGGACGCTGTGTAATGATCTTGCTTGTACTGAAAATATTAAGTTTTCTAAGTTTTTTTTAATCAGATGTGTCAAAATCTTCAGTTATTAAAAACGGAAAAATGAAAAATAAAACTATTTGTCTCTATGCAAACCTAAACTATATAAATACGTTGTCATATTATATGCCCTCAAATATACTGACTCACCGCCGAGTTACAGCAGTGGTGGAGCGAGGTCGCCAGTCGAACATTTTTTTCAAGGGTACTGCTTCTACTTTATGCTCCACCAGTTCATGCTCCAGTTTGTCAATCATTCGGCCCTGGGTAGTGGCCTTTTCTGGAGCTAAAACATGAACATTTGTATGTTTTTTCTGTAATCTGAAAATGTTATCTTTTGTATGACAATTTTTGTGCGTGATATAGCCATGTTGCAGAATGTTATAGGTGCAGCACAACTGGAGCAGGAAAGGACCATGATTTTACAGTTAATTAAAAAAAGTCCCCCCTTAAAAGTTCTAATTTAGACATAATTTGTACGCAAGCTCTTACCAACTTTAGAACACGCACTACTAAAGGTAGGGTTAGATATTATAGTAAGTATAGTAGTAATATAGCATAGTAGTGCCACCGTGTGGTAGCGGTGTAAGAATATCATAAGTGTCGGAAGAGGCGACAGTGGGAAACAAATCAGGAGATGTGAAGCAGCGTCTTCCTAATAACGACTAAAAATAAAAAACTACGGTTAACGACCCGCGTGCAACGTGGCAACTATGGCAAATGTCACCCTATGAGGCAATCTTTGGGGGAAGCCTGTGTTCAGCAGTGGACTTTAATAGGCTGGTAACGATAACGGTAACGGTAGTCTTTTATTCATTTTATTATTAAAATTTATATATTTTATTTATTAAAAATAGGGAAGGGGATTTAAGTGGATATCGGCGCTACGCCCCTGATGCCCAAATCAATAATCAGGCATCTAATGCTATTTACCCGTAAAATTTAAAATAAACATCTACCCGCATGTTACCTTTGAATGCCTGGATCGGGCTTTCTTCATCTGGTCCCAAAATAAAATCTTCCTTATCCAACAATCTCTCATATTGATCGACTTGCTTCTTTTGAGCCCTCGTTGTTTGGACTGGCTTCGGCGATGTATATTTTATTTCCACCTCTCTAACAGTAGTTTCGCTTACATCGTCGTATACCTCTGCTTCCTCTTTATCGTAGTCTTCGTATTGGGACTCGTCGTTCTTATCGTTTCGTTCCTCCTGCTCTGAAGGCAGGTGATGTCTAACCTGAATTTAATTTAAGGAATCTTAATTAATATTTTTTAATTTGCCGTATAGTGGCGGTTTAAGAACATCCACTACCCTAAATCACCCCGTGGGTCTGTTAAGAGGCGAAGGAGGTGAAACAAACCAGGAGATGGCAGCATCGTCTTCCTAATAATGACTAAAACTGTGGTTGCCAATCCGCTTGCCAAGCGTGGCACCTATGGCTATGGCAAATATCCTCCCTATGATGCAATCATATATATTCTATCAGAATATATATATACATATATATATATATATATATATATATATATATATATATATATATATATATATATCTTTTGATGAGTTATGGATTGTAAAAATTAAACGCAATGAAATCTGTAAAATTTTATTCATTTAATGTGTAGTTTTCGCGTGAAAAATCATGACAATGTCAATATTAAACTCAAAACTTCACAATGTCAAAATTTGAGTAACATATGTTACAGCCTAGATTTTTAAACTTTGAGTCTAAGAATAAGACAAAATTCCTCATTTCAAAAGAAAAGTCTTCAGTTCTTGGCACTACCCACACACAACACAGCATATTATACAGGTTTTCATGATAGTATTCAATGAGAGTATGGTACTTCCTCGGTCGTACCGATAATCAAAATGCAAGTACACTGTTACGATTGGGGACCAAGGCTCCGGCTACACGCACCGACTTTGCAAACAAATTTGCAAATTACAATTTGTGCAGGACAAATTGAGCGTGTAGCCGGGCCGTTAGATGTAATACCTCGTTAGCAGAGAAAATGGTTTTAGTTAACTATAGTTGAAAAATGAATGTGGAAAAACAGAGAGAGAGAATATTTTGACCCCAACCAAATTTTATTCAAAAATTAATATCATAATTATCATCGGCCTCATTATAATGTGTCATTTATGATTAGTCTATCATAATAATAATAACATCCTCCAGACCAAATTTCGGTCACGGCGGTCAGCCTCAACGGAGATTAGCCATTGGCGCAGGACAGGATTGTAGTGGCCAAGTGTATGCGCAAGCACAGGTGCACTCTCTATTCGCTCACTCTCATAGTCCGATGGGACGGTAAACCGACACGACCGGAGAGTGATCAGGCGCAGAACCAACGGCTTTACGTGTTTTCCGAGGCACGATGGTGACGGAGGACACCGCCAACTTCCTTACACCGGGCAGCTATTGAGAATTTCTTGATGGGAAAACTCAATAACTGATTTTTTGGGCTGACCCGGGATTTGAATCCGGGACCACATGATCGTGTGTTTACTTATTAGTCGGCTAGAAGCTATTTTACAAAAGAAGTCCCGCCGAAGTAGAAGTATGCGAACTAAATTTAAAGGATGGTAATTAAGTGAAGGCTAATTAACTTCTTTAGTTAGAAGGACTATTGCTTAAACCATAGTTAAAACCCAAGACGTAACAAACCACGTTAGTAATAAGACGGATAATATTTTAAATGTATTGGCATTTGCGCTGCAATATATTTCCTTGTTGATGTTAAAACTTCTTTAGAATCGTTGTGATTTAAAACTCAAACGAAAAAGCGACACTTAAAAGAGACAAACATATACATCTATAGGATTTAGGCCTGCGAGAGAAAGAGAGGATACAGTATACGGTTTTTATTATAACACACTCTCACAGAATACCAGCGTAAAATGGCAGCTTGACACTGCTGTGTTTCGTATAGTGAGTGTAGAGAACCGGAGACCCATTTTACTGGTAAATCCATCTTAGTCCTCATGGGTGTCGACGCATCTGCATTTTGATTCTTTATTGAGGATAGATGTCTATGGGTCACAGCAACCACTTACCATTAGGTGGAGTGTGTGCTCGTTTGTCACCCTATCCTATAAAAAAAAAGTTATAGAACAAACATTTAGTACAGCTATATTCCGCCATTTGGCATGCAATATCCGTCACATTTTATTACTTTTATATTAAATAACTTAAACATGCTCTAGTTATAATTGGAGTTCACATGGTACATAATCTAAAATAATAGCGATAAGTCAATTTAGATAATATTATATAAGTCAAGTGAATTTAGTTATTTTGAGTCATGTAACAGTCAATTATTGAATTTCATATTTGTCTTCGAGATATTCTTTCAAACTGTAATATAACTGTATTAACAAGAAATTGCTTTATTAGTATTTTAAACTTATCTATATTGGAGTATCTCAAAATGTGTAATGGTAAATGGTTATACATTCGAGGGGCCATACAAAATACACTGTTGTTAAATTGTGCTGTTTTGTTTGATGGAAAACATATTTTGTGATTATTACGTTCACTGTATAGGCACTCAAATAAAGAAATATGCGTAATAAAAAAAACGGCTACGTCATATAAATAAAGGCATGGAAGTGTTAACAGTTTCAGACTAATAAAAAATTGTTTACAACTATCCGCCTGTTTTAACTTCACAATGGCCCTTGCACATCTCTTTTGGGCTCTAATGATCATTTCATTGTCTACAAGAGTTACCCCAAAAGATGACACCATACCTTAACACTGATTCTACATAACCGTGGTACGCAGTGATGACGGCAGATTGATTCACAATTATTTCAAGTCTATACAGTGCATAAGAGAACCGGTTGGGCTTAGTACAAATATCTTCCACTTGAGAGTTCAATTTAAAGTTTGAATCGAAATTGAAGCCTAAAAACTTTGCATTTTCGACTACATTAATTTGTTGTTCGTTGTATCATATATTAAGATTTATTAAATTATTATTCATATTTCTGAATGTCATTAGGTTTCTTTTATTTAGATTAATTAATAAACTATTATTTGATAACCATTGAATTATTATGTCCAGTGTTTGATTTATGTCAGATATCATTTGATTTTTGCTTGTGCTTGTAAACATCACTGTGCTATCGTCTGCAAATAGTAACATATCTTGATTTATATAATTTTGTAAATCGTTTATATAAACAAGAAATAATAATGGACCAAGAATACTTCCCTGGGGTACTCCTTGAGTTACTTCACTATATATACTGCTTTAACTTCAGAACTTTGTTAGCGCGATTTAAGCTTCGATGTGTTTCTCTTGTGGCGCGACGAGAGCGCCGCCACAAGAGCAAATTCAAAAATGTTATGTTTACTTCCTTTAATATTGTGTATAAAGTTATCTAAACAAGATCCACTTACAGTGCGCGTTGGCTTATTAATGGCCAATTTAAGATAATAGCCAATAATTATTTGATTAAGCATGTTAACCTCTTTGCTCTTTTTTAAAGTGTTTATATTGAAATCTCCATATATAATTATTTTTTCCCTGTGAAGCAGAATGTAGCAAGTATGTCATTAAATATAGCAAAAAAACTGATTAAAATTTTGTGTATAGTTTCGAGGTGGTCTGTAAATAAACACTACTATTAGACCATGTAATGTAAGATCTATGGAACAGCACTTAATTGTACCAGAAATGCCATATTTTTCTATAGAATTTAAGGTTTTGAATTCACGATGATTGTGAATCAAAATACAGGCACCGCCATGACGGGTTTTACGACAAAAACGGTACTAACTAACGGTAACGGTACGGTAAGCTACTCAACTATTACAAAAGCTAAATAATATAGGAATAACAGGTACAGCACTAGATATGTTGGCCTCTTATCTCACTAACCGCCAACAGATTGTACAAATATCTAACTATAAAAGTGATCCTCAACAAATTACCTGTGGCATTCCACAAGGCTCAATATTAGGCACTTTGTTATTTCTTACATACATAAACAACATAGTAAATTTAAACCTATCAGGTTATTTATCACTATACGCAGATGACACTTGTCTTTTTTACTTTGCACATTCAATTCATGAAGTTATATCACAAGCACAAATGGATTTGGATATATTAAATGAGTGGTTTTCATACAATCTTCTCACAATTAATGTGACCGAAAAATCATTTACGATTTTCTCTGCTAAAAATAAAAAAATACCAACCTACACACCACTTAAGATTAATAATATTACTCTTAAAAGATCTAAAAAAGAAAAGTACCTAGGTCTATTATTAGATGACAAACTGATATGGGACTCTCACATAGACAAAATAACATCAAAATTAGCATCACTTACGGGAGCATTACGAAAGGTATCAAACTGTATTCCATACCAAATCAAAACTACTATTAATTTATAACGCCCTAGCCAAGCCACACCTGGAGTACCTTATAGAGATATGGGGTTCAGCCACACAAATACACATAAGTAAGTTACAACGAGCACAAAGTAAATTAATAAAAACACTATTTCATTACAACTACCTAACCCCAACTAAGGAGCTATAGAGAAAAACTAAATTTTCAAACATTAAACAATTATATACATATAACACATGCATTATTATTAAAAAATATCTAAAACATACATTCAACAATAACATTCACACCAAAGTGTATTACAATAACCTTAGAAACATAACCTAGAGCATAACCTTAGAGGCATTCCATCTTAGTAATTGTAATAATTTTAAGCATTTTAAGAATTAACTAAAATCATATGTTGTTGATAAAATTTTATACTTAACTGCATATCTTCAATTTTGAACATACTCATAGTATTGCATTAATACAATATTCATATTTTTAAAACATTACGATATAATACATACATAATACGTATAGATACGTGGTAGAGCCATGCTGCAGCTATATTATGGTTGTAGCACGAATGGGTCGGCTCGACCGGGGAAGGACCACGCTCTCACAGAAAACCAGCGTAAAATAGCAGCTTAACGCTGCTGTGTTTCGTATGGTGAGTGTAGAGAACCGGAGACCCTTTTTACTGGCAAAGAGGCATTCCATCTTAGTCCTCACGGGTGACAACGCATCTGCATCTTGAGTCTTTATTGAGGATAGATGTAAATGTCTATGGGTCACAGTAACCACTTACCATCAGGTGGACTGTATGCTCGTTTGTCACCCGATCCTATAAAAAAAAATATGTTTGCATTAAGTAAGAAAAAGCGTAACAAATTAATTAAGGATATACATGTAAGAATAAAGAAAAGAAGGCTAGTAAGATCTCAAGGTCGCTCAGCGAGCTATGGAGAGGGCTATGCTCGGGGTTTTTCTGCGTAATAAACTTAGAAATGAGGATATCCGCAGTAAAACCAGAGTAACCGACATAGCCCAACGGATTAGTAAACTGAAGTGGCAGTGGGCCGGCTATATAGCTCGAAGAACCGACAACCGATGGGAAAGTAAGGTTCTCGAGTGGCAGCCTCGTACCGGTAGGCAAAGTGTAGGGCGACCCCCCACTAGATGGAGTGACGATCTGGTAAGACATGCAGGAAGTCGATGGATGCAGGTGGCTAAGGACCGTGTTTTGTGGCATTCCTTGGGGGAGGCCTATGTTCAGCAGTGGACTTATGAAAGACTGTAATGATGATGATGATGATGATGTAAGAATAAAACATAATAGAATTATATAATGCATGCTACCGTGTAAATACTGGTAATATTATTTTGTAGGTATACTTAATCTCTGTAAAAGTGAACAATGTGTTCGTTAAGAGAAATAAGTGTCTTTAACCCGAAAAGAGGCTGCAAGTATATAGTTTTCTATGAATAATAATTTGGTGTCACCTTTCAACATGTTGTGCTCAGTTAAACAAACAAACAACTACATCAACTACGATACCCTGTTCCAAAAGAGAATTGAGATTTAAAGTTAAAAGATCTGACTTACTTATAACGCCATTAATGTTTTGATGTAATATATTTACATGTTTATAGTAATACTTCTTTGTTTATGTTTTGTTCTTTGTTTATGTATCGTGAATGTTCTGTAGACTCCTTTGTTTATGTTATGTTCTTTGTTTATGTATTATGAATGTTCGCGTCTGTAGACTTGTTTGTTTAAAGTTGGTTGCAGGTTTTGCAGGGTTGCAGTAGCCAATTATCACCAGTTGGATTGGAAGTTCGTTTTTCACTTCAAATTTATACAAAAATCATTCTTTGTTTGGAGTTACTTACTAATGCCTTTATGTTGTAGTGACTACTTTCATATTTAAATTAGACTTGCAACGAATAGTATATTGGGAATATACCGAAATATAGTAGTAATAGTAGTATATACCGAATATTCTGCGGACGTCCTGGCCGAATAGCCGAATATTAGGCAAAAGTATTGGGCTGGGAAGAAAGTAATGTTTATTCTTCAGAGCGTCTATTCTCTGAAGCTGGGATTGTCTACGAGAAGAAAAGGAGTGAACTACTGCCTGAAAATGAAGAAAAAATGAGTCTTTCTGCACTTTATTTACGATAGTTCGAGTGTATAAACATTTATCTGATAGCTCTTTTTTAAATTTTTACAATATGGAAGTTGATTATGTAACTATGACTACTTTAATGTTTACAAGAAAAAAAAATAGTAATAAAATAAATAATTATTTTCATTTCACCAGTTATCTGACTACAATAAAACCTCTTACTTATGTATTCGATATTAGAACGAATAGGATAAAACTAGCCGAATATGCCAGATACGGAATAATAGCCGAATATTTAAATAAGCTTAAAGAAACTTAAAAAACACGAATTGGTCACGAGCTGTGATGATTCTAGCGAGAATACCAGTTCATAGTCACGAAGCTATTATATTTTTAACGGTTCCTGTGTACTACGACTGATACGACTGAAAAAATTTGAATTATTTAGAAATCCGAAAGTTTAAAACTGAATAAAATTTCTATTTTTTCATACATTGTTACATATATAAATTACATACATACATAAAAATATCATCCAATCATTTAATCATATAGAAATCGACTGATGAACATCGGCCTCACCCATAAATTGATCATATCCTTTTGGAGGATTTTGCCAGAATTGGCTGGCGGGTTGGCAACCACAGTTTTTATAATTTTGAGTTGTTATTAGGAAGATCATGATGTTTTAGTTTCTTTTTGTTGCCACTCACGACACTCACGGAGCGGTTTAGGATAGTGGATATTCTTACACCGCCACGCATAAATATAGATCAATTTAATAAAAGCATGATAAAATGACTTACCGGCCCACAGAGTAACGGATATGGTGATCTCGATCTTCTGGCAGTATGCATGGGGCAAGATGCTAAAGGGCCAGGGGTCAACGTCCGCTGGCCGAGCATATTGGTGTGTGAGAAGTCGCAGACCAGTAGAAGTCTCGGATGTTCAGCCCCGTGTCTCACCGCGCCGCAGCCGACCGCTTGAAGTGTCCACACCGCTATTTGGCTGAAGTGGCCCCATACAGTGCCCCTGAAAAAGAGCCTTGCTACATAAGGAGAAAAATATGTAACTATAAAGTTTATCCATTACCGTTTTAAAAGAATTTAAAATTTTCTTGTCCTACTCAGATAGCTAGTGTCCACGGAGATTATATATATATATATATATATATATATATATATATATATATATATATATATATATATATATATATATATATATATATATATATCTCTGTAGGACAAGATTATTGTGCACGAGGGTGTGCAGTCTTAGGAGCACCTTCTATTCCCTCAATCATAGTCTAATGATACGGCAGTCAGTCACAACTGGAGATAGATCAATCAGGCGCAGAACCAACTGCTTTACGAGGCTTATCAAGGCACGGGTGTGAAAGTGAAACACCGTCTGTCTCAGTACTGAAAATTCCTTGGCAGAAAAACCAATAGTCGCTAATTACCCAATTGTTGAAGGAGCTGCATGAAAAAAATTAGGTGTTCATACTTTGCTGTAAGTCGGAAAGGCGCCGTCAGCTGTTTCGGTTGCACACGCCTCCTCTCTCCCCACCAAGCGTCGAAGACTCTACGTATCGCCCGCTGAGCGCTCAACTCATCGGACTCGCTGGAACGACGCCATCTCACTTCGCCCACTGTTTGTCCCGCGTATGGATAGCGGACTGAAAAATACCTTAATATTAAAATTAATGCTAGATGCCTAATCATTATCTAGATAAACTTTTCATGATCGTCATTATCATCATTAGAGTCTATGAAAAGTACATTGCTGAACATAGGCTTTATATATGAAATGAAATGAAAAATGAATGAAATGAAATGAAATGAAATATTTATTTGCATTTGGTAAAGGTACATTGACGATGGTCACCGTAATTAAACATCCGCTTAATCAGCCATTATTAATAGCATGCAAATCTTTAAAACTATAAAATATCGAGATAATAATATTTAAGAGTAGTCATTATAACAAAATGTTTAACAGTGGTAGAGCCACGCGGCAGCTTTTGCTGTCGCACGGATGGGCCGGCTCGAACCGGGGTGGTACCACGACCTCACAGAAAACCAGCGTGAAGTAGAGGTTTACCTCTGCGTTTCGCTTGGTGAGTGCAGGTGGCCGGAGGCCCTTTTTACTGGAAATGAGGCATTCCATCTTAGTCCTCACGGGTGACAACGCATCTACATTTTGATTTGTAACAGAGGATAGATGTAGATGTCTATGGGCCGCAGCAACCACTTACCATCTGGTGGACTGTGTGCTCGTTTGTCACCCTTATCCTATAAAAAAAGGTAGTCAATAAATAGGAGATAATTAATAAACATTTCATAATTGGTCCATTAAATTTGTTTGTCAAGTTAGATAGATTGCCTCGCAGGGGATATTTGAGGGGGATAACCGCAGTTCTTTACTATTTTGGGTTGTTATCGAGAATATGCTGCTGCAAATCTCCTGTTTCACCTCTCTCTGTCGCCCCTTACGTCACCCATGGGGTGATATGTGGTAGTGAATTTTACACCGCCACTATACGTCACGCTTCTCGGCCTTTTCGAAGGCAATATCATAGAATATGCCAGCAACTTGGTGTCGATACAAATAAAATAGTTGTTTACAATTTTAATAGCGAAATCCCCACTATTTTGACACATATAGCGAGGAAATCTGCGTGTTTCTGGAATGAAATATTTCGAAGACATACAATCAACCGCATCATTGTGACATATTCTCTGCTCCAATCCTTTTTAGAGCTGAGAGAGAGTGATAGATAAATGTAGTGAGTGAAATTGAGAATTGATGTCACTATTTGGCTTCATTATGTATCATGGATTAGTGTTGATTAAAGACTTTAAAATCTATACATAACTATATAAGAGATTTCCGCCTATGTACTGACCCATCACGATATCTCTGGAACGATAAGGTCTAGAAACTTGAAATTTGGTAAGAATATACCTTTCGCTAAGTAAAGGTCAGCTAAGAACGGATTTTACAAAATTCCACCCACAAGCGGGGATTGCTGGGGCGTAGGTATAAAACTTGGCCAGAATATTCTTATATTATATTTAAATAAAAGAATATTATATTATATTTAAATTTTTGGTATGTTAAATATTATCAAGAATGGATTTTATGAAATTCCACCCACAAATGACAGTGCGGGGCATTAAAAATAAACTTAAACTTAATCTATAGCTCCTTTAATATCGCTAAAACTTGAAAACGGTTGGATCTATTTTGATGAAATTTTTTTTTTGAGTTGATCCCTGGTCTAAGCGATTCACAATTGGAATCGGTGGGTGGCGCTATTGTCGAGGTCCAGAAATCACACGTCCGAAGTCAGAGTGGAGCGTACTTTTATATATACAAACATATTCAACGTACAAGAAAGAAAGTTAAAAAGGGACAAACCTGTCGCTCGACAATCATCGTGTACAAAGTGACATTGATCCGCCAGCCTTTGAGCCAGAAGAGCTAATTCACGATCCCAACTCTGAAAATATAAGTTGGAGTAATGTATCGAATATATTCATTGATTTTTATTCATATAAAATGAAATCAAAGATACAATATCAAATTTAATGCTATATCGACATTTGTCAGTTATGAAATATAACATTATCAATAGAAAAAATATTAATGCTGCTTTTTTTTATTTTATTATGACTGCATCGTTGGTCTAGTGGTTGTAAACGCGACTGCCGATCACGAGGTCCCGGGTTCGAAACCCGGGTCGGCTAAAAATAATCAGTTGTTGAGTTTTTCCGTCAAGAAATTTTCAGTAGCTGCTCGGAGTCAGGAAATTAACGGTGTCTCACCCCCGTGCCTCGGAAAGCACGTAAAGCCGTTGGTTCTGCGCCTGATGTCTCTCCGGTCGTGTCGGTTTACCGTCCCATCAAACTATGACAGTGAGGGAATAGAGAGTGCACCTGTGCTTGCGCATACACTTGGGCGCTATAATCCTGTACTGCGCCGTTGGCTAGTCTCCGTTGAGGCTGGCCGCCGTGACCGAAATTAGGTCTGGAGGACATTATTATTATTATTATCATCAAATGATTAGCAAATTAGCAGTATCTGATAGTATGGTTTCTGTAGCTCTTGGTTTCTAACGAAATTCAAATAAAGAACGCTAAGGATTTTTTTATAGAAGTAAAGAAGCCTACAGTATTTTTTTTCATTAGTAAATCCTGTGGCCTTTAATCAAAGAGCAACGAGATACAGACGCGTTGTCAATCCTAAGAACTAAGATGCAATAGCTTATTACCAGTAAAAGAGTTTCGGTTCTTTTATGCTGGTGTTCCATAAGAGTGTGGGCCTACCTCATCAAACCGACCAATTCGACCTGCGTCCGTAATAAAAATGCAGCCTGGCTCTAACACATACATATATAGAATGAATCTATTTATGTGGTAAGAGAGACATTCCATTTTAGTAATCTGAAGCTCTGGGAACTACTAGCTACTTCTGTCCCTCAAACTTACTAGCTACTTGTGACAATACTGTGGTATCAGCATTGAGTCTAGTGCAGCGGCAGAAATAACTTAGTTGCGTATTATCTACCCAAAAGTACTCCAGGCAGAAAAGTAATCCTATCAAGTAGTAAAAATATTTATAGACACTGGTAGTAAAGGGGCCCCGGGTTCGATCCCAATGAAATTATTAATTGTGATCTTAAGTGCTGAGCTACGCGCGCACGACGGTACAGAAAAAACATCGTAAGGTAAATTGCATGTCTTGAGAAATTAAAGAAAAAAAATATTTTGAAGATAAGTTGTAAAGCCCGCCAACACGCATTGGAGCAGACAATTCTTCGGCCTTAATCACTCTGAGAAATAAGAGGATGCCTGTACCCAGCAGTGGGATGTATAAAGGTTGCTTAATTCATTTTTATATACAGACACCACACAAACAAAAGCACAACACTCCTTCTTATGGCCGTAGAAATGCACTGCTAAAAATGGAACGTTTCCGTTTGTACGGAGAACCGAAAACCAAAACTCTTTGTAATTTATAATATAATAATTACAGTTACGCTATAATAAAATCTTTGGTAAATGAATTAGTGGGTAGTTTTATGTGGTAGCGCCATGCTGCAACTATATTAGTAGTATAGTTGTAGCACGAATGGGTGGGCTCGACCGGGGAAAGACCACGCTCTCACAGAATACTAGCGTAAAATAGCAGCTTAACACTGCTGTGTTTCGTATGGGGAGTGTAGACCCGGAGACCCTTTTAGTGGAAATGAGGCATCCCATCTTATTCCTCACGGGTGACAACGCATCTGCTTTTTGATTTGTAATAGAGGTTAGATGTAGATGTCTATAGCCGCAGCAACCACTTACCATCAGGTGGATTGTATGCTAGTTTGTCACCCTTATCCTATAAACAAATAGTAAAAATAGAATTTGTTTGACTGAATACTAACCACCATCATCATAACCTCCGGCCTGGGCAGATGTGCACCGCCTCTTACCCTCTCGTTACCGGATGCGATTCGTTGTCGGCGTCTACATTTAAAAAAATAACAAAAACAAAAAAAAGTAGCATTATGAAATTGTAGAGGCATTTTCGTAGTTTGTGTGGTAAGATGTTAAAAGGGGGAATGAAACAGTAAGATGGGTAACAGCATCTTCTTGATAAACCCTCAAAATAATAAGTAACTTCGATTGCTAACCTGCCTGCCAAGAAAAGCAAATATGGCATACTTACATCCTCCCTTTAAGGTTAACTAGGAGGAGGTCTAGTTCAATATTTTGTAGTTGACTTTTGATTGTTTGTAAGAAAAGTCGTCACTGCACACAGCTATGGAGAGGGTTATGCTCGGAGATTCTCTGCGTGATAAACTTAGAAATGAGGATATCCGCAGTAGAACCAGAGTGACGGAACGGATTAGTAAGCTGAAGTGGCAATGGGCCGGCCATATAGCTCGAAGAACCGACAACCGATGGGGAAAAAAGTTCTCTAGTGGCGGCCTCGTACCGGTGGATGAAGTGTAGGGCGGCCCCCTACTAGATGTAGTAACGACCTGTTAAGATATGCAGGCAATTGATGGATGCAGGTGGCTCAGGACCGTGCTTTGTGGCATTCCTTGGGAGATGCCTATGTTCAACAGTGGACTTGTGAAGGGCTGTAATGATGATGGTGATGGTGATGAAGAAAACTCAGCAAATTGGCAGCAGCGTCTTTAAAAAAAAATGAAAAAGGCTGTTGCCAACCCGCCTGTCAACACTATAACAAATATCCCGCCTAATGAATCCATCTATTGTGGAGGCATATGTTTAGGAATGGACATTTGAGAAGCTGTAATGTTAAGGAAAATATATAAGGAATTTTGGCTTACCTATTTATATAATGTACGATGAAATGTTTCAGCTCGCTTGTGAATCTAATCTGTGTATAATTGCGACACGACATGCCCGGGCCTGGCTGCAAATCACAAGTTATTAGTAAAAATAAAAAAGCAACCTTCACATGTGGCGTACCTAATACCTCCGATAGATGGCGGTAAACCATATTACATATACCAGGTGAAATCACGTAGATACCCAGACCGGTACTGCTAAACGTAACGATTGTAGAGCACTCATTATTTTTATAGAGCATATTATTGTAGAGGAACGATGGTAATCGCACATGCTTTTCTACCGACTTCAAAAAGGTGATGGTACTCAATTCGACTGTATGTCTTTTTTACGTGTGTTGCCTCATAACTTTTTACTGGGTGAACCGATTTCGATGATTCTTTTTCTATTTGAAAGCTGGTGCTTCACATGTGGTCCCAAGATCAAAGTCTGATCATATTGAAGTCGATTGTACAATTTTTTTTAATTTTTAATTATTTATCTACCAGTGCTATATTTACTAGGCGGTAGGATTTCATTGCCTAATTGGTTGTCTAGGTAGGCACCACACTCTCACCTATTTTTACCGCCAAACAGCATTGCTTGTAGGCAAACTAGGTACATGCCATGGTTGAAAGGTTACAAAGGGGCGAGCACGAAAGTTTTAAAATGGAACAAAGTGTACCTACTTACTTAAATAAATTTAAAAAATCACACTTTCTAAAGATATAGTATAAATTATGATATAATAAATTTATATGCAAAATAAGTGCATAGTAATAATTTATAATATATGGCCACCAGAGAGCGCTTATGAAGTGCTGGCCTAGGGCGCTGTCGAAATTAAATCCGCCCTTGTGTGTTTCAATTGGAAAGGGTATAGGAGTATCTATAATTACAGATTTTAAGTGGTAGAGCCATGCTGCAACTATATTAGTAGTATAGTTGTAGTATAGTTGCGTCGGCTCGACCGGGGAAGGACCACGCTATCAGAAAATACCAGCGTAACGTAGCAGCTTAATGCTGCTGTGTTTCGTATGGTGAGTGAAGATAACCGGAGACCCTTTTTACTGGAAAAGAGGCATTCTATCTTAGTCCTCACGGCTGACAACGTATCTGCATTTTAATTCGCAAACGAAGATATGTGTAGATGTCTATGGGGCACAACAACCACTTACCATCAGGTGGACTGTGTGCTCGTTTGTCATCCTTATTCTATAAAAAAATAAAAATTGTGAGGCATTCTATCTTAGGTCTTAGTGGTGACAACACATCTGTAACCTTCTTTGTTTAAAGTTAACTGCAGGTGTCCAAGAACTGTAATAGCCACTTACCATCAGGTGAGTTATGAGTAAATTTGTGACGACAGTTTTTTTTTTTATGTTTGTTACCTACAAGTGTTGTACTATTATCCCACTTAAAAGTAAGTAGCGATGTAGGCAAAGCGCCCTGAATTATATTAACAAAATCGTTTTCACTTTTTTCACCACCACAAACAAAATACCAAGACAAAGACACATGTGATCGAACGGAAAGACAGATTGCAAATTCAACTGCTTTACTGAACGCAATATAAAAAAGCAAACAGGTTGGTGCGAATTGTATAGTGCATGTTTTGGTAAATGAGATTAAATTGTTTCACTCAACAATAAGCCACTCAATACTTACAACAGGAAATTGACAGGCAACATGGCGACCTTTTCCTTGGCACAGTCTCCGGTATCGCACTGCACAATATGGTTGATCGTCGATTAAAGCAGAAGACACAAGATACACGCATAAAAACGCCGGAGACAGCCTCAGGAGCATACTTATTTATCTATAACACAATTAAACACAAATCAAAAAAAAATCAACGAAAATGTAAGGTGTGTTTAATAGTGCGTTTACTCGAAGGAGGAGTGAATGTGAAAAACTATTTAATCATAATATTGACACAACAACCGCCGCTGTAAGTTGAGATGCGTTGTGTGACGAATCCTAACAATTATAACGTCATCCCGACGCGCTACCGTATGGTGCAAAATTTTTCACCATTTCACCGCGTAGTTGTTGTTAATGGCGAAGGAGCAGAAAGACGAAGTATATGACATGTACTGCTCAGACCGGCGACGGAGAGTAGCATCAAAGATACGATACAGAGAGAATTTGACAATTATGGCAAAGCATTGCTATAATCGGAGTAGCCCATGGCCAGCTGTGGACTACTAAGGATTGATAATAAAGAAGAAAAAGAAAGAGAAATCCTTATGAGAATATCTGGGTGGCAAGAATTTGGAAGATTTTAAGGTTTTAACAATATATTTTAGGTAACCGAAACATACTTCAGCTCGGACTGATACCCATGAAAAATGTATGAAGTCATCGTCCCGTAATGCCCTATTTTCTCTTCAAAAACTGGACCGATATTGTTTCAAGAATTTATAAGAAAAATTTTGGCTATGGTTGTATGATTTTAAAATGCCTTTTATGTTTATTAATTTTTTTACAATTATTATTAATTATATAGTAGTATATCTTTATATCTTAACATATTTATATATAAAAATTACGTGTCACGTTGTTTGTCCGCGATGAACTCCTAAACTACTAAACTGATTTCAATGAAATTTGCACACTCTGTGCAGTTTGGTCCAACTTGAGAGATAGTTTTTATCCTGATAAGTGACATTCAATATTTTTTTATTACGAATTTAAGTAATTTTTTTATTAGAAGGGTCGTCTAAAAGGGCAGAACAACGTCTGCCTGGCCAGCTAGTTGATTTATAGATTGTATAGTGGAGAAAACAAAATAATACGTTTGCATAAAATATAGTAGATACACGACGACCTTTCGTGGCTTGCATTGTTTTGGTTTATTTTACTCTTATGAAATATTTGTCCAGATGAAATGGGATCGTTAAAAACATATTTTGCTTAAATGAGAATTGTATTTTAAGTCTCCTCATATATCCATTTTCATTTTCCACTAAAGCCATCGTTATCATCTTCCAGAAGTCCCCTAGAATATAAGTGGCCTTTTGCATCTGTGTACCGTAGACCTAAACAACCTTGGACAAATATCTTGAAGTCGTACAGGGTCATATAAAATGAAAACTTTGGCCGGTGCTTTGGCATACTTTGGTTTTGATTTTATAAAATCCAACAGAAAAAGAAAAAACTATGAAGTCAAAACGTCATACATCCAGACGGTAGAGCTCGCGGAACGACGTGGATTTTAGGAAATTAAAATAAACGCTACAAAATCCGTAAAAATAAGTTTCATTCTATAGGTATGTAGTATTCGCATAAACTGTAAAAGCGGGCATGTTGTTTTATTAATTTTCAAACAAACTAACTTAAAATGAATATTTTAAAAACCTCCGAAAAGAACCCTACCGCAACTAACAAAACATCTAGTGACCTTGAAACGGCTATACAGATTTTGATAAAACATGTCTAAGAACCACCGCTAGAAAACCTCCTTTTAAATAAAATAACCTCACCCAAATCGGTTCATCACACACATAGTGTTAATTAGTAATGTCAATGCAGTCAAACATATAACACCCCTCTTTTTGGGTCGAGGATTAATCAAATACATTGACTGTAGAAACACTTACCGATTAAATATTGTAAGTAGTATATATTGTTTAGCCAAATAAAAAAGGCAATATAATAGAAAATTGCATATATACTCACAAAATACCCACACCTTAGAAACAACTAACATAACTGATTAACTGACATACTACTCCACTACAACACTCAGCTCAGTTTTTAACTCATCTCTATTGACAAATAACTGTTTTTCACCGAACAAAACGTTTCTACTATAGTTAAAGCCCACCCTACTTCCTCGGTAAATTCAACAGTTTGTATGAGAACATTTAATAAATATGTCTATCCAATCAAACCACACGGCACAATTATTACGTTAGCACGATGACCAATACTGCGATGTAATGTTTTAAAAACTCTTACTATTGTTTAGGATATTCGATTGTTCTACGGCGTCTTTGCATACTGAAAGTGATGACGGGAATTAAAAACATGAAGCATTCGTTTCATATGATTACCTAATTCTTTATGCATTCCTCTTTAAAATAAATAACATAGAAAGGTAGGTAGGTAAGTACTTATGATGGCCTGTAATGATAATGATCTGTGTTTTTTTTTTATAGGATCGGGTGACAAACGAGCACACAGTCCACCTGATGGTAAGTGGTTACTGTGACCCATAGACATCTACATCTATCCTCAATAAAGACTCAAGATGCAGATGCGTTGTCACCCGTGAGGACTAAGTTGGAATGCCTCTTTGCCAGTAAAAAGGGTCTCCAATTCTCTACACTCACCATACGAAACACAGCAGCGTTAAGCTGCTATTTTACGCTGGTTTTCTGTGAGCACATCTTACTACAAAGGTTGAAAACAAGTGTTATGTAAATTATTGAATACTATGTTACCAATCATAAGTGGAAAAGCACTATGCTCAATACCTTCAATAGTATCTCCCAATCTCAACGGACAGGTCTTAAAATTAACATGGACAAGTATAACCGGCCAAGTGCGATTCAGACTCGCGCATGAAGGGTTCCGTACCATCGTAAAACACGTTTCTAGTAAAGGAGCCCCCTTTAATATTTAATTTATTTTTATTTTTATATATTTGTTGTTATAGCGGCAACAGAAATACACATTTTGTGAAAATTTCAACTGTCTACCTATTACGGACCATGACATAAATCCCGCTGACAGACAGACGGACGGACAGCGGAGCTTTAGTAATAGGGTCTCGTTCCTTACCCTTTGGGTACGGAACACTAAAAAGTTCATCAAGAACATCCATGTCACACCTACGACGATAGTCGTTAGGAACGATACGCACGAACTTGTAGACAAATATGATTCCTAGGACTAATTGTCCTAGTCGGAATAGGTCCAACTTCGGCCGAGAGTTCAATCGGTGGACGACGGATCCAACTCGGCTGGGCAGCGTTCGGGAGATTACGACACATCCTACTACAAAGGTTGAAAACAAGAGTGTTCACGTCTTCCTCCACTACTGGTCATATAACGAAGCGGAAGGTCGCTCAGCGAAGTCTGCATGATTAACTTCAAAACGAGGGTATTCCCAGAAGAACAAGAAATATGCCTTTCAAAGAGTAGGGGAGAGTGGGGAAATTGCGGACAGTTGACTTACTATTACAATAAAAACATTAACAACAATCAGTATATTTTTCAATATAATTAAACTTTCGTTATATCCTTACAAAATTAACATCGTTTTTTTTATTTTTAACTAATCAACTACTAATAAATATTTCAAAAAAAAAAAAGCTTGCTGACCGTAATTACCCGGTGCCTATCTGAAAAATGCGGACACCAGTTGGTGTAATTGCGAATCTTTTGGGGTGTTCCTGACGTCACAGCCCATTATTCTCCCCAGCTCGTATCGTCAGGCAGCAAATCTTAAACCGGTTCTGCGAGCGCTTCGCGGTCCCACCATCATCGTGGACACAACGCAGTACTGCACAACACTATACAACGCAGCACTATAGAACGTAGGCATCTTGCTCGGAACCACCCGGCTGCGATCGCATGCATAACGGCTACCTGTGATTAGAACTTTTTACTGGAAAACCGCATTCCATCTTAGTCCTCACGGGGATGCAAAAAAATTATAGGAATTGCGAGACGCGATGAGAGCTAACCTAAAAACTACCCAATGTCCGCAATCACCCCACTCTCCCCTATGCCTTTCAAATAACGTCAAAATATATTTTAAAACGTGGTAGTACCTCGATGCAGATGTATTTTCTCTGTAGCACGAATGCTCACTGCTATTTGCTATTTTTTAATTCTGTTAACCGCATATAGTACGAGATACCTCAGAAACCCAGTGCGAATGCCAAACTCTAACTCAAAATCAACGTGATTGACCATTCTAGATCCTATATTGCCGACCTTACCTCCTTTTTCATAAAGAATCCTTATAAATGTTATCCAATAAAGCGAGCGCCGATTTTTCACAGGATCATAATAAATAATTCTCTAGTTTTTGTACTTTCATCCTTTGTTGCTACTACGTGAATACTTACTACTTTGTTACTATTACGTAGTTCTATTGCTTTTTTTGAAAGAGTACTGACGGTGCTAGCTCTCTATTCTAATTTCAATAATAATTACACAATGAAAACAGACAGCAATGAAAACCTACAAATTCTCTTTATTTTTAGATGTTGAATCTGACTAGATTTCGAAACGAAGACCCACCACGTAGGATCCGCGTACTCTGACCACTGGGTCATGCTGACGACAATTTGGACATAAAAACGATAAATAACATTTTTGTAAACTATTGATACTTACGCAGCTAGTAGCTAAATTTGTAAAAAGCCGGCAAATATCACTTCTCTCGGACAATGCCTTCAGATGTGTAATGTTTGAATGCTTTCTTGATTTCAAATTAAAATCTAAATTGCGTACACTTGAGGTTACTGAGTTTATACTTATAAAACTTAGGTTATTAATATAATTTAAGTTGTAAAAATATTTAAGTAATTTATTAGAAAAATCTAAACTTAGATAATTTCTAAAAGACTTACCGAGTACATGTAACAAAATAATTAAAACAATATTATTAAATAAAATTCATCGAAAGTTAACAGAAAAATCTCAAAATGTTTACAGTATAATGAACATTTTCTAATTAGGTTATGTTTTGGTAAAGTAAGCTACACACTATGACAAACTATACATCAAAATCTTCTGCAGCTTGTAAAGAGGCTATATATCTATATATGGTGTTTTTGGAATTTTTCCCT